GTGATTCTGTGATTCTGTGATTCTGTGATGACCTTCTATGATGTCATAACTGACTGGACTGGCTGGATGAGGGGACAGCCATGGGGGCACTCACCCCAGGGGTGAGTGTTGTGTTCAATCTTGTTCAACATATTTGTTCATGACCTAGATGAGAGGACAAAATGTAGCCTCAGCACATTTGCTGATGATACAAAACTGGAAGGAGTGGCTTACAGAAGAGGTCTGTGCTGCCATCCAGTGTGACCTGGACAGCCTGGAGAATTGAGTAGCAAGGAGCCTAATGAGGTTCAACAAGGGCAAATGTAAGGTCCTGCACCTAGGGAGGAACAACCCCATGAACCAATATAGGTTTAGAGGTAGACCTGCTAGAAAGCAGCCCTGAGGAGAAGGATCTTGGAGTCCTGGCAGTCAGTAAGTTAACCATGAGCCAGCAATGTGCCCTTGTTGCCAAGACGACCAATGGTATCCTGGGCTGCATTTAGAAGAGTGTGGCCAGGGGAAGTCATCCTTCCTCTCTGTTCTGCCCTGGTGAGGCCACATCTGGAATACTGTGTCCAGTTCTTGGCTCCCAGTTCAAGAGAGACAGGCAACTACTGAAGAGAGTCCAGCAGAGGGCAGCAGAGATGATTGGGGGACTGGAGCATCTCTCCTAGAAAGAAAGGTTGAGAGAGCCTGGGACTTGTTAGCCTGGAGAAAAGAAAACTGAGAGAAGACCTTATTGATGTCTATAAATATCTAAAGGGTAGGTGTAAGGAGGATGGAGCCAGACTCTTTTCAGTAGTGCCCAGTGACAGAACAAGGGGCAACAGGCACAAACTGGAACACAGGAAGTTCCATCTAAACATGAGGAAAAACTTCTTTACGTGAGGGTGATGAAGAACTAGAGCAGGCTGCCCAGAGAGGTTGTGGAGTCTCCTTCTTTGGAGACTTTTGAAACCTGCCTGGATGCAATCCTATGTAATGGGCTGTAGGCAATACTGCTTTATCAGGGGGTTGGACTAGATGATCCCTAGAGGTCCCTTCGAATTCCAAATATTTTGTGATCCTGTGATCCTGTAATAGTTTCATACCCTTAATTGTGAAACTTACTTCAACTGTGGAATTTGTCTCAGCCTAGCTATGCACATGTGCTTGCATCCACTTCAGGAAAACAGTAGGCTAGCATTCTCTGAGACTGATAGACATAGGTCCTATAAACTACAGCATGACAAACATCTGGATCTCTCACCAGAGACAGCCCTGCTAGTGTAACAGGCAGTTGTACAACATCCCAGGATTGTCTATGTATAACATTGCACAAGGAACGGAACAACAAGCTGTAAGTTTTAATTATGGAAATTAGATGCCAGAGAGAAGTTCTTGTTAGATTCTCTGAAAGTAATTATCATCCTCAGTACAGACCAAGAGAAGGCCGTTCATCAATGATAACGAAGTTGGACATCTCAGTTGCTTCAGATCAGTTTGCTTAATAACGTTATTGCAGTGCTTGGTTATATCAGTGCCACGATAGCTTCTACCTCCCAAAATGTTTCACTTCAGCTAAAAAGAAATGCCAGAGCACCAGGGGTCTGAGTCCTTGCACATTGCACTTCTCTACAGAATTCTTTATGTCCCTCAGTCACAGCAACTAAGTGGTCCCAGACAAAGTCCAAGATGTTCTTCTGGGAGTTCTCTACAATACTTTTCACTTTTCAGAGTGACAAGTCACTTTCTGCTGCCAGTCAGTCAGCCACACTTTTCTGGGTGGAGATGATTGGCCTCAGAGTAGGACTGCAGCTCAAATGGCAAGTACAAGGATTTTCCCCAATCTGGATACGAATGAAACCATTTTTTCAGTATTTTTCTCTGAGCACTATCTCATGTTTGAAGGTAGGTAAAAAACAATCTGAATACTAAGCAAAGGAGGGATATTTGTATCCAGAATATCTTAATGGAAAGGGAGTTTAGTAACAAAATTGTAGCTCTAGCCACATGACCTTCTTGCTTGTGTGTGTGTTTTCTTTCAGAAGCAGTGTGGCATAGATGATACTAGACATAAAGCTCTTTCTAGAGAAAAATATGCAAGCCTAGCTCATTTCCAGGGCATAATAATCATTAAGGCTCCCATGAGTGAACCTCTGATACTTTTTTAGCTAACGATTAACCTTAAGCCTTCCTTCTCCCTTATGCATTTGGATTAAAAGGGCAACACGGAGACTGAAAGCAGTAGGCGTGAGTGGTTCACGCTCTGACTCTGTGGACTAAAGAGTGGAGTTATCTGACAAAGAATTCAGGAGCAGCAGGCCAAGCAGTGAAAGGACTGATCGTATTAGAGTTAGAAAAAAAAGACGTCTGTCTTGTGACCGGGCTAAATTCAGGATGTTTATGAGCTTCATCATGCTTATGAGCTTCATCATGCTGCTTTCACTGGTGCCAGCAATGTTTGTATGGTACAGACAGCAGCTATTGACTTTTCCATTTATTCAGCTCCACACTCTTCTCTGTTCCGGGGAGTCTGCTATAATTAGAGAGTTTATAATTAGAGAGTTAGAGTAAGGCTTTACTTGTCAAGACTTTTAAGTCTATCTGTGACTCTATATTTGTATGACCCTGGGTAAGTCATTCAACCAGAGTTTTACTTCAGCTTCTCAGCCTAGAAAACAATACCCATCTTTGATTGCTTGTGTCAGGCTTTATTCACTTGATTGAGATCTTTGGATAAAAGTTTTTTGACAGGAGAAAAACACTATGATTCACATTCTTATTAAGTCATAAATGGTCTCCTTTTATTTTGGATAGAAAAAAAAAGAGATGTGGAAGGATTAAATTTGCCTGTCTGTCTCGTTTTGTATAGGCCTGTACCTGTATGTGCTGTTAAAAAATTCTCTGGGGCAGCAGCTGGGAACATGGGGGTGTGATTCCTGGATGTCCTGGGTCGCACACACCTTGGGAGAGTAACCTACTTAGTACTTAGCAGGTAACAGCAGCAGCTGAGCAGCAGCATGCCCCTCCTCACCGTACGCAACCAGCAGGTGCTGCTGATACTGGCATATCTCTTCTACCTCATCCTGGGCGCTATGGTGTTCCAGCTGCTGGAGAAGCAGGCAGAGACCCACTTTCAGGAACAATTCCAGCTGGAGAAGCTCAAGTTCCTGCAGAACTACACATGTTTGGACAGGCAAGCCCTGGAGCAGTTTGTACAGGTAAGAACAGGCACCCATTATTTTGACTCATGCATTATTTTGGTTAGAAGTTGCAGCCAAGCATGTCATAAATTCACCTGCTATCTGTGATATTAAAGAACTAACTATGTTAGGGAAAGGCAGAAATTTCTCAAGCCCATTTGCATAATTCTTTATCTTGATCTATTGCAATGCTTTCTTTTCCCAGTCATGAACTCCCTAAATATGCAAATCTGATGATGAACCTTCATGCTATATTGCAGTAATTTCAACTTCACAATTTTCAGCTCCTTCATTAGTTATTACATGGGAATTATGCATGGTGACAAAACCAAAAATCAAATCTACAAGACGTAGGTTGCGCTTCCAAGGTTCTCCAGTCCAAACTTGTGCAAATTCAGCCCTTCTTTTGTACCAGAGATTGTCTACTGCTTTTGACAGTGATCTTGGACTACAGAAAAGATAAAGTCCATCACTATAAACTGTGTTATCTGTCACTTATAATAAGAGATAAAGGACTCTTTTTCAATATGGATTGTCAATTAGTGACATCTTCAGTTACATTTTAATCTATTTCTCAAAATTTTCTGGAGATAATTTACTAGATCTTTCTGGATATTGTTATAGACATGGGCTCATTCTAATATTGCAAAAACTAGACAGAAATCCTTGCACTACAACTTTGTTCATGCTTTAAATTTATCCAGTTGCAGAGCTTGGTGTCCGAACAGTTTGAACTCTTTCTACCATGTCATTAAATCTGTTAGAAACTCTAAACATACTGCAAGTTTGCACTGTCTGAGTCACAGGACTTCCACAAAGGTACATGGTTTTGATCAACAAAAAGTCCCAATTGTGTAAATGGATTTAAGCAAACAATGAAGTTCATATCAGAAAGGTAGGAGGAGAAGGTGGCTGAACCTCTGTCTATGAGGACAGTGTTCTAATCACTAATACTGTGATATATTTACTGTGGAACATTTGGCATTGGCCAGAAAATGAGTTTTCAAGAACTTACATGCCTAAGAATATGTCCATTTTTTTCATCTTCACCAGCTGGTGATATTACCTGTCTTTCCCTTATCTTTATAATTGAAGAGCAGAAAACTCTGATTCTCATTGTAAACCAGTGGGGATACTTCATAGAACTGAAAGGTTTAGTGCCCCTAGAAACCTTAGGAAGGGTTCAAACATGTCCAGATCCTCCTTTCACTGGATCCAGTGGAGGTACCTTCCTGCTGCCGTGCCACTCAAGAATCACATTGCTCCGTCTCATGATTTGCACACATTTCACTTGTAGGCTGTTCCAGACAAAACCAGCTGAGGGCACCAAATTATCATCTACAATGCACCAAGTACTTCAAAGTACTTGACTTGATAGTCGCAAAGGTAAATATAAGTGCAAGTGCCCCCTGACTCACCTGTCATTTACAAGACTTAAGAAATTCGTCCAGTTCTTACTAATAGTAGGGAATAGAAGGCTCTTCATTTTATGTTTCTAACTGTAAAACTAATTCAGGAAGCAATTAGCTCTCTCTGCATTTTAACTGCGTGGTTAAAGAGGCCTGTTCATGATGTCAGATGCTCCAGTCTGAAAAGGCATGGTATTCAGGCTGTGGTGAGACACAGCCACTGGATGCAGCCCACTCAGCTGACGAGTAAAAGGTGCCTTGTTTTATGGCCAGTTCTTTAAACTTAAATCCTAGAATCTGAGAATCAGCCCAGCTTTCTTTTTGCATAGCCATTATCACTAATAATAGTGTTACCACTTACAATTCATTAACTTTTGACTTGATTGGGCATGCAGGAAATTCCTGTGATTCCATGTTCACAAACCACATTGGCTCTGCTTGGCAAAAACTGCCAAGCTGAGAGATGGCCCTGAGCTGCAGCTCCTCAGCTGAACAGCCTGAAGTCGGGAAAATGCAAATTCAGACTCTGCAATGTAATACGTCTCTGGTAAACATACTTTGGTCAGGAAATTATGCCATTCTAACAGCAGAACTGAGAAGCAGATTCATTGAGTAAGTAGGTACCTTTTTTTAAGAGCCTGTTTTGATTACATCCATACTTTTTCAGCCTCAAAAGAATGGATATAAATATAGGCCAAATCCTTGTCTATGACCACGAGTGGCTGCAAGGTGCATTGGCAGAGGGACAGGAGCAGAAACAGCAGGCAGTTTCTATTCTGTCCACATCCAACTATAGCTTTATGTAGACTTCATACTCTTACTGCAAATTATAGCACATTTGTTTTATTTACTGGCTACGTCTGCTCCCAAAGACAACAGCTAATGTTCACCAACCAGTTGCTCTGTCCAGACTCCAGCCATAACCATTACCTGACCTGTAGATGCAAAGGAGCTAGGACCCACTAGAACTGTCCCACAGGAATTAGGAACAATTCTCCTGGGCACCAGGATGCCATTTCTTTCAAGGCTAAAAAGCAACAGCCATACCAAGAAATCTGACCTTGTCAGATTGTCTGAAGTGTTCAACATTGCCCTACTCTTCCATGTTGTCTTTCATTACGTGAATTTAGCTCCTCTGAACTCTTGTGCATTGAAATAGATAGAACTGACAAGTGTTCCAGCGGGGAAGAATTAAATCTGTGATTATTTTGGACATTTCAAAAGACTCACAATTCAGTAGTTTCTGTGTGTTCCTTTTAAACGGCAAATAAAATGTTCAACTCTAGATAATTTGATGTGTCAAATTCTTCCTATTCTAAGAAAAGTTTTTTAATGCATAATGTAAAGTTCTTTGTTATACTGAAAAGGAACTCTGCTGATACTTCGGTCACGAGATCATGTGGCAATACCCAGTAGCCCTATCGGATGGATTTGACCAATGCTGTATAATTTTTTATTGAAGGAATAACATCAGCTATTAAACTCAGGACATTCAATCCATCAGCATACATCAGCTAATATTACACAAGATATGCAAAGTCAGGTTCCTTGCGATGAGTACGTTGATCAGATAAGCAGTCCTGCTGGCAGTAGTCATCATTTGAACCAAGAAAGAATATATTCTTTTGGTCTCCTGGAGCCAACTAAAGCTGGTGTTGCGATTGAATTTTGCTCATGTCTTGCATCATACAAAACTTTCTAGAAAAGATGAACAAGTAATTCCTACAGGCATTTGGCAAAATTATGAAGGCTGTGACCTGGACTTCAAAACTGGTATGTAACAAACAAGGGGATTCTTGAAATCCCAGTCACTGAGGAGAGGGTAACTAGTCTCCTCAGAGAATTCCTCGAGGAGAGCAAAGGAATACAATCTTCACAAAAGCAACTAATGAGGTATTTGATGCATAAATAAGAGCAGCATTTCTTTTGCATAATAGTTTTGGTCATCTAGTAAGAGCTACTTGGAAGAGCAGAGAATATTTCAATACCTAATCTTTCAGACTAGGAGAAGCCTAATAGTTATTGAAAATTACTGGGAAGTAATAGCCAAAAATAGTACTTACATCCTCACTAGTACTTACATGGAGGAAACAGAAAGGAGCATGTTTCCCAATGCCTCTCCCCACAAGCACAACCATACATTTACACATGCCCAAATTAAAAACTGGAATGAAATGACTAGAGTAGGGAAGGAGAGAAGTGGAACTGCCTTTATTTTTTATGGCAATAACTTCACTTTTTTTTTTTCCCAGTAAACGGGAGGGAGACTCCCTCCACTCCCTGCCCCTTAGCCTTCAACTAGTTATAGAACCTGCTCTACTTCAACAGCCAATTCTCCAGTGACAAGAGTTCAAGTTCCCAGCCAGTTCTATTTCCAGGTTTTTGCCATGTCAGCATGAGGCCATTTTAGTCAAACTCTACCCTGCTATCTGCACTATTTATTGCTCTGCTTGTTTGAGATGGAAAGTAATATTTACTTCTCTCTTTTTTCTGACATTCTTCCTGATTTGATCCAATGGGTTGTACATCTTTACTCCTTTGACCTCTTCTGCCTCAGGTCCTCAGGGAAGCATGGGAGAAAGGAGTCAACCCAGAAGGAAACTCAACAAATCACAGTAACTGGGACTTCAGCAGCTCCTTCTTTTTTGCAGGAACTGTTATCACCACTATAGGTGAGGTACTCTCTTTCCTTATTGAGGTTTCCTCCAGCTGCCCTGTAAACCCCATAGCAAAGTGCAATGAGTGGACAGAATACACCTGTAAGACGATCTTGACTACTGTGGGTTAGGGTTTTCTATTAGTTTCCAGTGGTACTTGTTATTCTTTTGTATCAGCAAAAAAGCTAAATGCCTATTTGGTATACGCAATATAATTTTGTACACACATAGCACATCTTGAGGTTGCTTTGAAGCACTCATTCACACTCACCACAAAATCAGAGACCTATAGAAAATTACAATACATGTAAAGGGTAACATTTTTCATGCTAAATCTTGTGTTGGACATAGCAAATGCATAGGGCTCCACCATAAGCTATGGCAAATTGTAGGCAGATTTAATTGAAGAAAATCATAGGTCCACAGGTTCCTGAAGCTTAATGTAGGTAAGCCTCCAAGCCTAGGAACTTCCCATGATGGCCTATGGCCTGACCGTAAAGCATTTCCATGTAGCTGTTTTCTTTTTTTTTCCAGGTTATGGTCACCTGTGCCCCAGCACAGTGGCAGGGCAGATCTTCTGTGTGTTTTATGCCTTATTTGGAGTGCCCCTCAATGTTGCCTGCCTTAACCAGCTGGGGAAGGGCCTCTGTGCTCATCTGATTAGCCTGGAAAGATGGGTGCAAAAGCCAGGCCGTGCCCAGGTACAGTGTCAATCCACTATTTATTTCCATTATTTTAAAACTAAAGTTCTCTTCTCAGATGAATACTGCTTAGATTGTGTTTCCTTGTGTGTGTTTACAGTTTTCTGAACCACAATTATTTGACCCTCTATAACAGAAAATTGATATACTCTATTTACCTACAACAGCTTTAAAGCAATTTGGTTTTGGTTGAGGAACTCTAGGTTTGCACTTTTAAAACCTGACTCTGCAAAACTGGTAAGCAAGGATGGCCTCGATTTTGAGCAAGGTCCATGAGCTCTGGTGACTTTAGCAGAATACATGCATTGCTGAATCAAGCTATTACTATCTTGCCTATACTAGCACCTATCCAGAATCTAGCTCTACGCTGTGCAAAGACAATTTATTCTAATTGGCCTGCTAATCTGGTCTGAATTACCTTCCCTGATTGTGCTAGCAATTTAGAACTTCCTTCCTTTTCCTTCCTTGAAATGTAAATAAATATTCCTAGCTATAGTTTATTGGTGAGTTATTGAACTAGTCCAGATGTATTTGAATAAGGGAAGCAGGGATAACAGAAAATACTTCAAGGTCATTTATAGTTAGTGCATGTTTCTGAGTAAAGGTTCAATGAACTGATCCCCTTAGTTAGGGAAAAGGGAGATTAGATATGTTGAAACATTTCAGGGTTCCAGCACGATTTTTTTTTCTCTTTTTGATTTGTAAGTCTCCGAGTCACTGCATTGTTTACTTACACTGGGAAAGCTATAAAGGTACTCTAAAATGCAGACTTGGTTTATATGAGTAAGAAGTCCTTTAGCTGCATGTGTCTCTTCCCCAAATATGTGCAGCTTTACCACCAGAAGGATTTTCATACTAATATAACTGCATCGTTCCAGAGATTTCTTTTCACTTCTGAATCAACACCTCAGTTCTGGGAGAATTACAATCAGACGAAGCTTTGGAGCTGGATCTGCTTGTCCACTCTGAAAAGCCTCTTCCAGGAACTTGGTTCATCTCCTCCTTAACATAATTTAGGCATGCTTTGAGAAATTAATTACAATCAGTTCTTATTCATTCCCGACTTACTGTCCCCTGCATTATAGATTTGTCCCAGGAAGTTCTTAAAAGCCAGGGTAAAAAGTAATAGTGTGCATTTCGGTATAAAATTTTATGCACAGTTTGTTACCTCATTGAATGCTACTAAACTTCTGGAATGAACTAAAAGAGTACAGATATCAACTATAGCCATATTGATCAGTAATTCTCAGAGTGTTTTGCAAATGGGGGTAAGTATTATTACACAGCTAGAGAGAGACAGTACATAATATAGATGTGATCTGTCAAAGTCATCCAGTAGGCCCATGGCAAGCTTCTCAAGCTCAGCAGACTATTTTATATGTGAGATAACTCAGAAAGTAAAAAATTATGCCTGGACCTCCTACTTGAAACAGTGATTTGGCTTTTTATCCAGTCACATTGGACACATGCACAGAAAAACATGCTCTGGTTTGAATGCTCCTGAGCGAATTTTCTGACAGTTGTAATGACTTTGCTTCAGCCCACACATCACTAGCCAAAAGTTCACCAGAGTATGTTCCCTGGAAATCCTGAGCTCCTGATCCTCAACCCTAAACTCCTAAAATCCCATCCACTGACCATTCTATATACCTGTCTATTGCAGCCACATATACTCATCTCCCAGAAGACAGACATTTGTACGGAGAGACACAGATCTGCCAGTGCTGACAGAAAACAGTTCTGCTCTGAATGCTTCTAAGTTAAAAATAAAAGCAGACAAACTGACTTCACTTAAATTTTATCCAAACATATTTTTGGCTGAGCTCTTGCAAGCCACTTTATAAATCTTTGGAAGCAGTCATGCAGAAGACAACCCTTGTCAATCACTGTATCATGAGTTATGCAATACATGATTTTCATCAAAGACAAGAGCCAAGTAGTTACAAGACCATCTCCACTTGAATTGAAATTGTAAATTGAGTATTTCGTTCCTATAGTTGCCATAATAAGTTTCAAAATATGACTTGAGCATGCTTAAAAACTCATTGCAAAAAAAAACTTTTAAAAGATCCTCCTTTTTTCCTGATTTTGAGATTTTGGGGGAGTTTGGGATTAAGTACAATATCTATATGCAAGTTAAACAGTGAGGTCAGCCTGCTGTGCATGGAAGCATGGTTTAGCCTTCCTTTTTCAGGACATTTATCCCAGGGGGAATGAGTTTGTGATTCAAAAGCTGAACAGACCCAGCAATTTCCACTAGACAACTGCTCAGTGTTGTTTAGCTGCCATCTTCTTTTTATCTTTCAGGTAGTTCAAACACTGGCAGTGGCCATCTTCCTGACCACTGGGACCTTGCTTTTCCTAGTGTTCCCCCCATTGGTCTTCAGTCATGTAGAAGGCTGGACCTATGGAGAAGGTTTTTACTTCACCTTCATCACCCTGAGCACCATTGGATTTGGGGACTATGTAGTAGGTAAGTGAGCTGGATTGAACCTTCTTGAAATTAGTTACTCTAGTATAAAGCTAAATGCAGAGACCATAGATATTTATTCCACTAAAAATCTGGTGCAAGAGTGAACTGAGCCAAACTGATAATAATGAACTAACGTATTATATGTCATGGGCATTGGTCTCTTGGCAGCTAAGCTGAGAGTCACCAAACTCATTTCACATATGACACTGAACACCCATTCAACAGTGACTATGTCGAAGCTGGTCTGAATGTGATCCTTGAGTGACAGGCCGAATATATATTAATTATTTTTGTCCATATTAAGCCTTGGAACCACCATCTCCAAACAGTGATTTGTTTCAGCAAGGGCCTGCCATTCCCAATAAGAAATCATGTAAAATATGAAATGCTCAGTACTTACAATGGGAAGAATATTATTGACAAACCTGGGATGCCTGTGAAAGAAAACACATGAGGGGCTAATTTTCCACCCTCTTCATTTGAACAAATGCTCTTAACAGATCATATATAGTGTGTTTGTTAAAAACCTAGGGTCTACTACCTCACAAGCAGTAGCTCTCTTCTCCTAGAGGTTGCAATTATGTTCCAAAAGGAGATGAAAACCCATCCCATGCTGAAGCTGGGAACTGTGGAGTTTCATGATGATCCAGATGAGAGGGACTAAATGGGTGGCTGTGGTGCCGTCCTGTGCCTGTATCAGCTGCACCAATTTTCCATGCTGTGGTAATATCAAACTGGGGATAAAGATTCCCATAATCACTTATAAATATGTATGTTGTCTGGCAGCTGAAGCTATCAATATTAATATGCAAACTTTCCTGAATTTTTCAGGCACAAACCCTAACAAGCACTATATCCCAGTGTACAAGAGCCTAACTGTGATTTGGGTTATTTTTGGCTTGGCATGGCTGGCTCTGGTCTTCAACGTGGGAGCGGACTTGATGGAAAAATTCCTCCAGCTAAAGTGTCACAAGTCTGACTTAAACTTGGCAGAAGGAGACACCACCAAATTGGAAGACGAACCTGAACAGCCTAGAATCCACATCCCAAGCGAGTAAGGTACACAGAAAGCGCTCTTGAAAGTATATCTTTCATTTATATCTTACACTAAGCAAGCCCTATGGACAAAGGACTAAACCACATTGTGAACTCTTTCCTAAGGAGAAAATGTTCCAGATGGATTGAAACTTCCACTCACTCTGTAGGCATCAGCCAATCAAAACCTCCAAAGAAGTAGCCTACGTGGTAAAAAAGCTGTCCCAGGATTCATTTTACACTCAACAAAGACAACTTCCCCTGAAGTAATCAATTATTATCCTTTCTTTTTCTCTAGTGGAATTCAGTTCTTATGGTCACTCGTTTTCAAAAAAACTCCCAGAGTGACTTCCTCCCAGCAACAATGAGAAGTCAGGTCACCAAGAATCTCAAGTGGAAAAAGTCAGGTACAGAAACCTTTCTTCATTTCCAATCAGAAAGCGAGCAAAACCACAGAAGAATATCAACAGTAATGACCACCTGCTTAATGACATCCATCCAATAAAGATTCATTGAAATAAGAAGTTTTCATATAAAATAACATTTCTTTATTTCCTGGGCTAAAATGTTCTCTCTTAAATTGTGCAGAAATTATGTGTCTATCCAGCACTGCCTGGACTGTTACAATTCATTTCAGAGTGAACTGACAGCTCAAAGCAGGTCCTTATCCTTATCGCAGTTCATTTCACAGCCACTTGAAAACAGCACTTCAAATCTAAATGCGAGCAGACTTCCTTATTTCCAGACAGATCACAAATATTATTAGAGTGTGGCATTAGCTTTGGGCCAGTTCACTGAAGAACTATCATGCACCACACAAAGCTGATGCTGTCCATTTACCCCTAAGCAAGGCTGACGGTAGGTTCATGTTAAGTCTGATCCTCAGCCATGCACTTAGTGTCATCCAAGAACCAGGGAGTTTGATTTTATCATAGTTATTGTAACTCAAAAGTCGAAGCAGTCATCTTCAAAAAAGAAGAAAAGCCAAAGGACATATAAGCACCTTATAACAGGCTGGTCATTGAGTTACAGAACTGTAGTCATACTCCGTATTAAAGTAAACTATAGAAAGTTGATAAAACAATTACCCATTCACTGAGTACCATACTGGACTGTTTATAGACATCACTAACACATTCCATGGGTATGCTTGTAATTATGTATATACTGCTATTTATTCAGTAAGTTTATAACTCATATTAGCCATCTATTAATCCTTTTAAACTCATTTATAAGTGGAACTTAAATGACAAGTGTGAATAAAATATGACTGAGCATGTAGACTAGCCCCAAGCTAGCCTATGGCTGACAGACTACAGTAACATCAAATATCAGCCCTTCAGCAGCTGCTTTGATATTTCATTTTGGGGAAATGTCCATAAAACATGTAGAGACATGTGTAGGTCACAAATCTCTTGCCATATGCTTTCTGTGCTAGGTTTTTATTTCTGAGGACGTTCACAACACATGCTTGTTCTTACATCTGAGTAGGTGCTTGTTTTCTTTAGTAGTTGTTGACTAGTACATAGTGCAGTGTGACTGCTCAAATCTGATGTGCTGGTGTATAAGAATGCCGGTTGTGGTTTGTTTAACCCATTTCAAATCTCAGTTTTCAAAGGCTTATCCCACCTAAGATTTCCCTCATGTCTTACCACTACCTGCCTCACTGATTTTATCTCCTCAGTTTTTGCACTCATCTCCCTCTAAGCCTTCAGCTATTCCCATAAATTTATGCAAACAGGTTTGTTTGTTCACTAACACCAGCCAACTCTCTCCTGTCTGGCTTTTTGTATCTTTGCAAATCTCACGGGAAATTTCCTCTCTCAGTATTCTCTATTCCTCAGACATGATGTCTGCGTATGCGCTTAACATCATCGCCATCACTCTACTCTGTACCTGCCTTCTGTCAACACTACAAGATATTTTAGGCCTGACTGTGTGAAAGAGAAAACTAAAGTTCTACTGACTTTTACACCTAACCTGTTCCTTTTATTGTGCCTTTTTCCATGCCTTCCTTACTTTATCTAGTTACAGCCAGCCACAAAACATGCACTAGTCTAAAGGTGACCCTATACAGTGTTTGACACCATGCTGCTGTCATAAAAAATGATAATGAGGTTTATCAGGGATAGAAAGCATGCATGCATCACTTACCGGCAAAGTGTTTGTTAAAATCGTTCTTACTTGATATCTGACAGCTGGGAGTTTGGATTGCTTTCTCTGCAGTCCAGAAAATTGCTCCCGTACCTGATACTGGTTTGCAAAGTAGCAGCATGGTGAGACTATCTTCTGAATTTTTTGCTACTGCTACTTTTAGTAAGACTGAGAGTAGCCACAGCAATTGTCAAGCTGCCTGCCAGAAGACTCAGAAAGATACCTTAAATCAAGCATATGGCCGTGTTGGAACAGAAAAGAGAAAGATACTGATGAGCTCTCCTGTGTTCCACGTAATAGAAATTTCTTGCTCACTTGGTCAATTTTTCAAGATCGTGAAACGATCCTGAAGGATCACAAGTGCATCTGTAATCAAAGTTACTTTGAGATACTCACTGGGAGCGCTGTCACAGTTCTTGAGCATAGATGGATCAAGTATTTTCTAGTACCTTTCCTTTAACAAAAAGATAGTCAACAACCATCAACTGACCAGCTAAGAAAAATAATGTGGAAGAACTACACAATCACAAGGGCTCCCTAGGAGTCAGAGGAGTGCACAAAAGAGATTCTCCTGCTCTTTTAATAACCTGTTTTACCAGTGGTGCAATCCTGCACAGAATGGAAATCACACAACCTGCTACAAGATGCTCAGTGCAGTTGCATGGGAAAAAGCACTTCTGAAGCCTCTAAATGTAGTTCTGCAGGCTGTGGCAGAAGTGACAGCCCAGGTAGTGCTCATCTGTGACGTGGAAAAGTAGCACTGTCCTCAGCAGCTACCACTTGCAGTCCACTGCAGGACAAGAAGTAAACGTACTTCCGTGCTTATACTTCCCCATCAGCAAGCCCTCTCTTCTCAGATCTATTGCTACCTTCCAGACAACACCAAAACATCATTTGCAGATATTTGAGCCATTATCTCTGGAGATCTTAAAAGAAGGCTGACACACAAGTGACATTTCTGAGAATATTCAAGAAAAACAGTCATTAAAATATTACATAATTCTGTAAAGATTTGTTGTGAATCTCAGTCTCTTCTCTTCCTCCCTAAACCCCTTCTAGCAAGCACATGCTTGATGTCCTGGATTTTCACAGTAGTTACAGACCCTGAGTCTCACCTGTAATGTGTTTTATATGATATACCTTTAGTATAAACATTACACGCTAGTTGTTTAGCCTAAAATGTTTCAGCATGGTTGTACTTAGTGTGCTTTGTATAACTGATTTTAATACACTTTAAAGTGTCAACGAAAGAGGAAAATTGAGTGTCTACATACTTTTCAGGATCTTTGCAACTTTTCTTTTTCGAATATATTTTTATAGAAGGTTTTTTTTCTTTTCCATTTTAAATATCATTCAGTAATGAATACATTGAAAAGTCAGTTAAGACTGAGCAATAAGCAGTATGACCTTTTTTTAATACTATCTTCAAGATGATATCTTTAAACGGGAATTGGTCTATTCTTTGTGTATTAAGTTTTGCATCTTGCCAATAAAACCATGAGTTTATGCTACTCTGTTTAAAGCACTTCCCAGAAAAACACTAATTAGAACATTACTAGCACTGTTCCAGTCAAGCAATACCTGTTTGAAGGTTGCCTTATTTGCAGTAGTATGAACATTCTGCTGGCAAAAAATTAAAAAACACAGGGCAGTGTGAGAAGACATTACCATCTGACAGTGTATAAAGACAACCTATTAAAAAATTTAGTGGGTTCATGCCCCTTTGTCTCATGCTCTGCAACGAAATAGACAAATGACAAACTTTATATATGCTCAAAGTGATTTGATGTGTTTTCCTGCTCGTGAGAGAACACAGGGTACCACTCGTTGTAGCCTTATACAAGAAAACAATCAAACGGATCTTGGGAACTATTTGTATGAAGAAAATGTTTCTATCTATCATAGGAAAACCACACACTTGCTACCTTTACAATTGTTTATTTCGAAGAGTCGTTATCAGAAACACCTGCTTACTGCCTTCTAAATTAGCTGGGCAGCTGAGTGAAGAAGGAATCTACATCTACACAGGTTGCTGGTATAGTGATTTGTAACTGGTTCCAACTGGGTAAAGATACCGGGCTTGCTGGCAAGGGTGTGAGGTAGCGTTCCTCTAAGAGACGAGAGTGATGCGGCGCCTGTCCTTACGCCGCGAAGGGAGCCCCAGGGCACTTGTGAGCTCCGGGGAAAGCGAGTGGGAAGCGGAGCAGCAGGGTGAAGGCGGTGGGGTAGGCGGGCTGCTGCGGGGCACAGCCCGAGTCTGGGAAGGGAAAGCTCCGCGGGGGAGGCGCTGAGGGCCGGCCGGGCGCCCTGTTCTGCCCTGCCTCG